CTTCGTTCGTCTGTATATCACAGTGAGAGAGTCTCGAGTCACTTCTCCTTCGGTCCGTCATTTCGAAAGATCTTCCCGTTAGAGATATGAATGATATTCTATATCCACTATTCTCACGTTACTCTATCTCTAATCTCTACTACTATATCTATCTATACTTCATTCATATATTACTATATTCACTTCACTTACTACTCTATATATTACCTCTCTCCTCTCCCTTTATACCCTCTCTCTCTTCATCTCTCCTCTTCTCGTAATTATCTCTCCTCCTTCATCTTATACTATCTATTTCTTCTTTATCTCTCACTTCTCTCTTCTTCTCTCTCTCTTCTCTCTCATCTCTCTCCCTCTCTCCTCCCTCTCTCTCCCTCTCCTCTCTCTCCTCTCTCTCTTCTCTCTCTTCTCTTCTCTCTTCTCTCTCTCTCTCTCTCTCTCTCTCTCTCTCTCTCTCTCTCTCTCTCTCTCTCTCTCTCTCTTCTCTCTCTCTCTCTCTCTCCTCCTCTCTCTCTCTCTCCTCTCTCTCCTCTTCTCTCTCCTCTCTCTTTCTCTCTCATCTCTCCTCTCTCTCTCCCTTCTCTCTCCTCTCTCCTCCTTCTCTCCTCTCTCTCTCTCTCTCTCTCTCTCTTCCTACTCCTCGCTTCTCTCTCTCTCTCTCCTCTCTCTCTCTCTCTCTATCTCCTCCTCTCTCTCTCCTCTCTCTTCCTCTCTCTCTCTCTCTCTCTCTCTCCTCTCTTCTTCTCTCTCTCTCTCTTACTCTCTTCCTCTCTCTCCTTCTCTCTCTCTACTCTCTCTCCTCTCTCTCTCTCTTCCTCTCTTCCTCCCTCCTCTCTCTTCTTCTGGCATAGGAGACTAACTGTATACTCCCACGGTTCTGGGAGAAAGTACGGACCCGCCAAGTTGAATGTTTACTTCCATGGCTCTTCAAGCAAAATTCCGTTTGTTATTCTTTACCTCCAGTTCAGGGCTTTCATATGGGTTGTTTGGTATACCGCCATGTTAAATAGTTTCGGGGTCCCAACCGTATGTACCAAAGGGTGAAATTTGTTTGCGAAATATTTTGGACGAGATGTTTTTTATAAGTGAATGGGGAGTCCAGTTTCCAATACGTGGCATTATTATCCTGTTAAGAGCTAGCCAGGGAATAGAAATTGACCAAAATGTAATATTTTCCTTGTCACGAGATAAAACTTTCTAAGATCTATTATTTTAAATATAATTTTACCTCTAGTTTTCTCATACGGAATTCGAAATAGATAATTCAAGCAAGGCTGCGTTCGGATCTGAGGAAGGTCACGTCCTGTCTCGTCGCCTCTCGGTCGCTGGTGGGCAGTGAGGGACCCTCGAGGCGTCTCCCTTCCTCTGCAGGCCTCGAGGGACCTGCGTTTTCGTTTTCAAACATGCAGTAAACATGTCAGCCATATATGACATGGAGAAAGAGAGGGAAGGACACCACACACACACACACACACACACACACACACACACACACACACACACACACACACACACACACACACACACACACACACACACACACACACACACACACACACACACACACACACACACACACAGATATAGATAGATATATAGATAGAGAGATTAAAAGAGAGAGGGATGAGGAAAGAGAGAGGGAAGAAGGAAGAGAGCGAAAGAGAGGGAGGGGACGGGAGAAGGATAAGGAAAAGAGAGAGAGGAGAAAGTGAGAGAGAGAGTGATAACAGACAGGACAAAGGGAGAATAAGGGAGAGAGAGAAAAACCCTTATCCCTGGGAAGATCTTCGACCTCAGACTCGTTATCAGCCGCTTCGATAGTAGTCACTGGCCAGTTTGGGCAAGTCCGAAACGTGTTCGTGATAAGATATCGACGATAACTTGCTTTTGACGAACAGCCTCGTCTTTGCGCACGTACGAACACACACACTCAAGAAGATAATAGAACGAGGATGTATATGTTTTAACTGATTCCTTCCAATGGTTTCGATAGTGAAAAGGTCACATCACAGCTTCGTATCAGTTGACACTTTAAGAGCAAAGATAAAAGAGGGACACACATCATTTTTGATCGTACTTTTTAAGTAAAAAAGTCTTGATAATCCGTGCTGGAATATCGAGTCTACAAACGAACGAACACACACGATTTAAGGAAGAGGAGGGGACTACACAGGAAGATTAGGCGGGACAAACACAAACACATTAGTATACAAATTCAGACATGGAGAAGTGTTTTTGAAAGTGTAATGTAATCTTCTTGAAAATCAACAGATGGGTGTCGTTTCATGTAACTGAAGATCAAAACCTAAGCAGACAAGGTATATAGCATATGAGAAAAAAAATAATTAAATCCATCCAACCTTTATATAAGCCACACAAGATACAAACCATATAGATGTAAAATATGAGCTGAAACAGACACAAGAGAAAGCAAAGCGAAACCAGGAATTAAGTCGGACTCCACACTGAAAAGGATACACGATGGATAAACGGGACGCGTATAAAGAGCAGACAGAGAGGCTCCAGAAGCAAGAGCAGAAAACCCTAAATGATATGTACATAGACTAAATTATCCAACTCTACTCCACACATAGGCAAGGAGTCGTATGTATGAATGTATTTTTATACAGTGCGACACAAAAAAGTGTATGTGTGCATTGGTGTTTACATGAGATGTACAGTGTGTGGTGTGTACCCTTTTATGTGTGAATCTGCGTTTGTTCATATGATTCCTTTCACACCGAAAGCAATCGATATAGACTTTTAGCTCGAAAGACACCAGGTCACAGGAAGCGAGCCAAGGTCAAAGGTCATCCACACCCCACTGGTCATGGATTGCGTATATCGGT